ATATGTCCACCATTTCCTTTACGTGCCCCTGTTATTGTTTTGTTGACAAATACCAAATGGTCGTAGTACATATCAATCATCTTTCGTTTGGTAACAAACTACAAACTCATGCAAAACGCCTTGTTTTCACATTTAGTGCATTGTATATGGCGCATCAGATCAAATATTGTCAACCATAAGGGCGGACTCGACAGAGAGAGGGGCATATGATAAATTTAGTCCATTCATAAGTGGGGAACGGTTAAAAATCAAGAGGGGGCTGAAAAAAGAGATTATGGAGTAATGCATTCTCAATATACATTAAATACTTACAAAAATGGGTCCAAATGTCTTCGGTACATCCATTGACAATAACAAATGAACAAGAGACACACCAACAAAAGATTTCCCAGTTCCTGGAGGTCCCTGCATGAAAGATAAAAATTTTAGGATTCATATTGACTCTGAACAGCCCCGTGAGGACAAGCCAATAAACTATATATGTATGTATCACATGTAGGCCATTTTAATCAAAAAATTACAAAATTAGTGCTGGTAGGAAATCACTATGAGCTCTCAATCAAACTGCTCAAAGCATTATGCACAATGCAGTCAAATGTTGGAAATTTGATCGTGGTTGTCAGTAGTAATACCATTAAACGTCTTTGTAGGCACGACCTGATCACGGGGCTGAGGGCATAACTGACCTATGTTAAGTTTTCGAATGTTTTCCACACTTCTCAGATTTTCTTAGAAATATAAGCATGGGATCTGCAAAACGTAGGCTGACAGCTTTTCTTTCTTGGTCGTTATTGAAACATTTTCTCTCATAAGTAATCCGTAATCCTCCAAAACCCTTAAGATTTTATAGACAACCCAAAAATATCAACAAGTACTACGCAATCATACCTGAATTAAGGCCACTTTGTTCTTAAGTGCAAGGTCAATTGCATCGAGTTGTGTGTCATCTAGTTTTGCCTTGATATTTGATAATTTCATTCTTTCAAAGTCTTCCACAAGAGAGTACACTGAAGACTCATCTTGGTCATGTGACTTTGGTGGAGACTCAAATATGATTCCCCAGTCAGGAGGAGCTTTTACTTTACGAACGTACTCAGCTTGACACATGTGATTGGCCTCTGGATGTACTAAGAAATCCTTGAACGGAACAGAATCTAGAAAATATCAGTCAAAAATTAATCATACACGTAGCTGTTGACAAAAGCAAATACATCACTGTCTTGCATCTTTTAAGAATCTAACAACTTTTTTTTAAAGAATTCCTACAAAATTCGCACTTAAAAGAGTCACCAGCATGTAGGAAATGGACAACTTGAAAATTACTGCCTTACAGTTTGCAAACTAAAAGTTTTTTTCAAACATATATGCATGTATGTATGTATGTATGTATCTCAGAACGGGGAAATTATTGTCAAAAACAGTTCAGATTATTTTCAGGTCAACGTTTTGCAGTCGATAAAGAACATTTACTAATATAATAATGGTTATGAGAAATTTTCCAGTTAACACTTTACGTAGGATGCATGAACACTAATATCCTCAATCACATAGGACATTATTGGATGACTAAAGGATATCATAAGACTGAGCTAATAGACCAGTGGTGATTGATAGTTGTGATAAGACGAATCTACGATGATCAACCTGTGTGTTGAGACTGAGCTAATTTGCCAGTGGTGATTGATAACTGTGATAAGACAGATCTACGATGATCAACCTTTGTGTTGCAAAATATCCATAGCCGGACCAAAAGACAGGTAAAATGTCTGGCTTTCAGCCATGTGAGCTTCTTTCCCTATTAAAGGTATCCAAAAAAGAAAAAGGAAAGTGTTACAATCGTGTTATACACGTCCAGGTATTTCATCAGCACCGCATTATAACGCAGTCATACCACTCAAGGTCGATATAACTTATGTAATAACACTCTGGGGCTACTACAACATTTAACATGCGACTGAATGGTGAGTAATTTGACTGCAGAAAGGTTGAAAAACTCTGCGGTCATGTGCTGTATCCAGAATTATCAGAGTTCAACTAAAATAAACAATGTCAACCGAAAATTAGGTGATTCTGTCACTATACTGCCAGGTTAATCCTGAACTGGGCACTACATTACTCATAACTGCAGGCATGCAAAAATTAGCCCACATACTTATGAGAAAAAGAAATGCTATTTTCCCTTCAGTGGGTAGTTCTGTCGAACGTGAAACAGGGCATATTTAACCTCTCCTGATGCTACCTTGCAACAAATTTTTATTTAAAATGTCATTAGTCTATGTATTATTGATTTCTTAGTTTTCAAGTAAAATTAATCCTTACATTAGTACAGATCTGAATATAACAAAATGGCTATCAGTCAAAAAGGTTGCTATAAATTACCTATTTCAAGCTAAACCCCCTCCCCTCCCTCCCCCCTACAATTTATTGTTAGCATGTCCCGTGCAACTGACTAGTTCACTCAATTGAGTAACAACATTGAATTTTTCAAAGATCAGTTGTTTACAGCATTAAGTCAGTTGACAAGACTACATTCTTGAGTTGCTCATTTAACTTTCAAATAATTAAATGCTGTCAGTTAACAACAAAAATGAGCTTCTTTAAAAACCTCAATCAAAAGCATCAATTCCCTCTTATCTTTAATTTACCTACCATCATCTGTTATCCCTTGTAGTTTGATTACAAATTCTGCCTCTGATATGTTGTTTGTTTTATCACCACAAAGTGCCACCCATATCACTCTATGGTTGAAGCATATTTAGAGAGCTAGGGTTAATCAGTAGCCACAAGAGAAAAATGCAGGGATTGTTTTCTTCTTTACTGCCGGCAAAGCTTTAAGAAAATTTACATTTTAGTAACTCCAATTTTCCAACAAAAACCTCTTTTCCAGTCAAACAGCCCTCCATTGGCCATGACCCTATGAAGTAGAATTCTGAATTCATTCATATTTACTGAGAAAAATGTTTCAATTAGATTAATCTCACCAAAGCAATTTCGACCTAGCAGCTTCCTAACATGCCATTTATATTTAAGTGGAGTGACTACTTTTAGTTACTACCTCTATGAATTACATGCAAGAGTCACAAATCACTGAAATGACACAACAGGTGAGTAAAGGAATCTCATTCTTGGGCTGTCTGTGCTGGAAGTAGATTAAAAAAAGTAACCAACCTTTGTTCATGGTCTACCTTTTCCACTACAGCCCAAACAGGCTGTTCAAATGAGCCATCACAAGAAATGCACAGTAGATTTCCATACACAAGCCAACTTGCAGATCTGTTACAGATAACATACCGCAGATGTAAACATACACATTTCTACATACATTCAAATTAAAATATTTCAGCCAGCCATGTTGTAGTGATAAAGTTTGAATCGATGTGTTTGACAACAATCAAAGATCAATACCTAACCTAATATTTGTTTATTAACTATAATCATGAGTTGACTAATTCTTGTCTTGTCTAGTATATATTGATCGTAAGCATTATATCATCATCTCCTATAGGACTGACATCAGTCACTTGTTTGCCAAACCTTAACGTTAAGACAAAAATGCAAGAGCTTTTACTAAAATAATCACTGAATTGGCCAAGCTGCACACTCGCAGCATTTTTTCTTTACTTGATTCATTATTGTAAGGTTCGGTGGCTCTCCCATAAGCCCGGTGGCTTCCTCGGTCTCCTTGCCTTCTAGCTGTTGATGACATTATACATCCAAAGACCTCAAACTTAACAAAGCGCTCACCCCCAGTCAATCCTTTCCTCTGAGTTAACAGTAAATTGCAATCCAATTGACATGGTGGTTGGAGAGTTTTCTCGTTTATGAGTGTGTAGTCCTTTCAGAGTAATCCTAGATGTAATTGCAATCACTATCAACACTTTACTAGCAATATATAACATCTGCAATATCTAAGAGACTTAATGTTACATCAAATCTAAAACATAATTGTGTTGGAGATGGAAGATGAAGATATGAGGAGGAGGATGAGGGTGAGGCAGAGCATATGAGGAAGAGGAGGGTGTGGGTGAGGGCAAGGATGAGGATGAAGATGAGGATAAGGAAGAGGAGGAAGATAAGGATGAGGAGTAAGATGAGGTAGAGGAGGAGGAGGATGGAGGGGGGATGCCAGGCTAAGGATGAGGATGAGAATGAAGAGGAAGAGGAGTATGATGATGAGGAGGATAAGGAAAAGAGTGAGGATGAGGCATAGCATATGAGGTGGAGGGTGAGGATGAGGATGAGGTGGAAGAAAAGGAGGAGGAGGAGGAGAAGGAGGAGGAGAAGGAGGATGAGGAGGAGAAGGAGGATGAGGAGGAGGATAATGAGGAGAAGGAGGATGAGGATGAGGATGAAGAGGAGGATGAGGATGAAGTAGAAGCAGTGGAACTGATGGTCAATTCAAACTTCTAATCTTTGGGCAAAAACACAGTCCACTGATTTCTAAATCTTCATGTTAAATCACAAGTAATGAAGTAGCTACCCATAGGATTATGTAGAATGAGGCCAAACTATTCTTCATGTACCTAACACATGCTAGCCATAAATTGAAAGTAAATAAAAAAACTTGTTCCCACCTATACATCATCGCTTCTTTTGAATCACACTTTCCTTTGCTTAAAAAGTGTGAAACTCCATTCTTCAACTTGTGAAAGCACTCCTCTCTTAGAAGTCTGAAGTAAGTGTTCAAATATTCTTTTTCTGAGTGGTACTTGCCTTCTTTCTTGATCACTGGTAAGTCAGTTGTTCTAGTTTCTTCAATCAATAGATGAATCATGAAAACTTAAGCTCATTTTATAATTGATAATTAAATACACCTACCATCATAAGTCTAATGGCAATATACTAAAGGATATTAACACAATTTTCATTGCTGGTTAACAAATCTGGATTTCTTGTTTGTATAACTTGTCCATCAGTAATAAAATGAGAAAAAAATTACCTAGCTAGTAAACCACAGAAAGTAGCATCTGTTTGACTCACATTTGCTTGCACTACACAATTACTTAAGTTTGAGTAGCGGCTGCTCAAGCCTAGCAAAACGGTTAGCAGGTTTATATTAGTTTAACCAAAAATATATGTTTATTTAAATCATTAATTGATATGCACTGACTTGTTGAATCTTTATGGATTTCTTCACTCAGTAGCAGCAAGGGAAGATCTCTCCATGAAAAAGCCTCAAGATCTGCATGGACCCCTGGCACTGCAATGGCAACCATCAGTGACAACTTTTCCAGGAAGTCTACAGCAGATTTCCCACAAGAGCTGTTCACTAAGCTTTCAGCAAGAACTTTTGCCATGGGTAGAACTCTTCGACCAGAGGAAGGTGAAACATTTAGGACATGTTCTAGAACATTCTGCACCACTTTGAAGGATCCACTGATGATTCATATAGCAAAATCACTATGTTTTCCCGTTTTGACAATTTGAAAACTTAACAGATGACAAGAACAAAATAACACCTCCCTTACACTTTCAGCTGTTTGGTAATAAATTAATTGTCATCATATGCTGCCTGAAATATGTTTGGCTCAATTGAGTACACATACAGGGATGCCTTGGCTAGGATCCTTAAACAAGATTGATTGATCAAGGAAGCAGGTTTTTGAGCTTATATGCAATCATCCAAGACTTCTCACAAACCATTTTCTGCAAAGGCATCCCTTACTTTGCCTTTAAATGCTGTCTGGCAATTCATTTTAAAATGTTTAGGTCAGAATTGAAAGCAAAGTGTTGAATGAAACAGATCACAGAGTAGAGATTTGGTATTAAAACCCAAACATTAAGGGTAAAAAAACATGGGCAAGTAATGCCAGGGTATGAAATTCAGACTAATATATAATCATGCACACCACAATCTACTAGCATTTGTATTTAATTGAAGAGGAAAACCATGAATTAAGCTTCAGTTTGTTCTTTGTATTTTATGCCCTAGCTAGCCAGACTGTGTCATAATTCATACACATTGATTTTGTAATCTACTAGTAGGTGAAAAAATTTTTTAAAATCTTTGCATGTTCACTTTTTTCATTGCCACCAATATTACCTGATACAATTTTCTTTGGCTAAATTCTCAACTATTTCAGGAAGGACCAATTTGAAGAAGGCACTCTTTGAAAATTCTTGAACAATTCCTTGAACAGTTGGTAGCATTCCTCTCTGAGTACAGGAGCATAACTTATCAATAATAAGTAAGACATTGTGGGCAAAATTTTTCTTGGTTGCGTTGCTATAATCTTCCCAAGGATGTTGAAGGATGTATTCCCAAAAAGCATGACACCTGTTAAGAATGTAAGTGCATTATTATATTAAAGCAACACAACAAAACTTAATTAGATCAGTTAAGAAGCAAAACAAGAAAAACAAAGAAAAGAAACGAAAATTTTCCTATATTTGCATAGTTGGGAATTTTTGAGAATTCCTTCGAATTCCCAGAAAACTGGGAATTCAGTTTGCAAGGGTGATGTAAGCCACTTGTTATATTACCTAGGACCTTCTGATCAGTTTTAAAGGTTTCAATATTCATAGAAATATATTGGAGTTGTGAAGACAAAGAATTTTGCCCTTACAATTTGAGTGGTAATAAAAACAATCAGATCACAGCTA